AAAAAAAGGCAGATTCAAAATTCTTTATTTAATTCCTTCTTTTCTTTATCTAATTCCTTCGTATTGTCTAATTGTATAGAAATCTATTCTGATTTTGTTCAATTCTCTAATTGTATTTGTATTATATCTCATAAAATCGGGTTAACAAAAAAAACCCCATAACATTCGGTAAGTAAAAAAGTGCGTAAAATCTTTACTAAAATAAAAAAAAGGATTTATTTATTATCTAATTGTATAGAAATTAGTTCTGATTTAGTTCAAATCGACTTCTGTATATTCAAATTCAGATTTTCTAATAAAAATATTAACAACAATATATATCTACTCTACCCATTATAAATTACAAATCTCAAAATATCGAGTCATCATCTTCCTCACTATCAACCTCCTGCGAACAAAAAATATCCCCAATCAGTCTTTTATTCGAAATAATGAATCAAGGATTTAGGTTAATTAAATAAGTCAATAGGTCTAATAGACCTATGCTCAAAGTTCGAATTGTGAGAATGTTTTTCCAAGACTGAGCAACACATACAAATCATATCTCGAGTTGGTTCTGCATGATAAAATTGTAAGCCAAATTATTTTATTTTTGTTTTAATTTCAAAATTTGAAACGTATATTTTATTTTTATTTTTTTTTTTATTTTGGTGTATGTATTTAGATATTTTTGGACATGTCTAGTGAAATATATTTTCGATTTTTTTTAAATTATATTTTCAGATTTGCAATTTGGTTTATTTATTTCACATATCGTGTATGTATTTAGATATTTACATTATTTATATTTATTTTCGTGTATTGTAAAACTTTTATTGAATATTGCATCTTATAGTATAATAATCCCCAAATAAATATATCCCGTGCCTCGCACAGGTCACACGTACTATATATATTCCGTATATTTTTCTTTATTCACTTATATAACTATAAGGCTGGATAAATGACCTTAAAATTGTGCACCCGAGCATCGCTCGGGCTCTGTACTAGTAATAAATATTGACAACTACTATTAAATCACATAATGAAGAATATTAATTCACTATCGCAGAAAATTATTTTCAAATAATTTAGTAAAGACGTTGCTTGAAGTTTCAATATGACCCGCGTATCTCTTATAAGATCCTTGATTAGGCCAAAACGTTGATCCAACATTTTATTTTGAAAGTGTTGATTTTTTTAATATCATTTTTTTTTTT